CAAAGATGATCCACCATCGAAAGATGAGTACATGGACATGGTGACCATATTGGACGGGGGTTCACGTCTTCACAAAATCCCCTGGAGGAAGAAAGAGCCCGTTTCCGTAATTTGTAATAGGTATGCTGAATATGTTAACAGGAAATATTCTAAGCCCATCGTGGAGTTTGATGGGTACGAGTCGGGCCCATCAGTAAAAGATGCCGCTTTCCTCAGGTGTTCTGCAGATGTGGTCGGACCAGCTGTTGTCTTCCCCAAAGAAATGCCATTGACCTCAAGCAAGGAACGCTTCCTTTCAAATCCAAGAAACAAACAGGAGTTCGTTCACCTCCTTAGAGGCACTCGGATGGCTCTTGGACGCCACTATCTTCACGCTGCTGGAGATACCGACACACTCTTAGTAAAAACTGCCATGGGGTATGCAGCAACCCACCCTGTAGCTGTCATTGGAGAAGATACAGACTTGCTCGTGCTCCTTTGTCACCATGCACAGCTCAGAAGCAGGCCTATTATATTCAGATCAGACAGAAAAGCTGGCGACAATCACAAAAGTTTAAACATCCAGAACCTGTTGGAGAAACTAGGTGTAGAATCGTGTCATTTTCTTCATGCTGCCAAAGGCTGTTATTTAACTTCGAGACTTTTTGGGCTGGGAAAAATGGTTCCAATGAGAAAATTGACAGATGCTCATTTTCGAAAGCGAGCTCATATTTTTTGCACAGCAGGAAAGACTCAGGAAGACATCAATGATGCTGAAGAAAGAGCTTTAGTCAGTCTCTACAATGGCAATGCTGCAGACACCCTTGCGCTACAAGAGGTTCTATGTAAATGTTGCATCATGTGCCACATCCGTCCAAATCCAATGCTTGCCGCCGACCAGTACTGCAGCCAAGTACCACAGTCTTCGGGTGTATCTTCTAGTGCAGGTATTCAAGACACAATGGGGATGGCAGCTGCACGATGATCACTTAGAGCCATGCACGACAGATATGCCACCTGCCCCACATTCTGTGTTGAAGGTGATTAAGAGCAGCTGTAGAACAGATTTTAAGTCCACAAATCGCACGTGTCGTCGCCACGGACTGGAATGCTCCATTTCCTGTGGAGGTTACATGGGTTTGACCTGCACAAATTGCCCATCACTTACTGAGGAAGATGATATCAGTTTCCTGGAGTTTCCTGACGGGCTTGATACTCTTGAAATACCGGACATGATGAACGTGCACGATCTACTGTTGTGAAATTCCATTTGGTGTGTTTGTGTTCCTATTTGGTCTCCAATTTTTTCAATATTACATATTCAAACAGCATTTTTGTCGAGCTTTCAAACGAGGTGCAACATGACTATGTTCTAAAAGATATTTTTTTAATAAAGTTGACCCCGATGGCGTCATGAGCTAAAAATAGCATTTCCCATTAAAGCGTGAATGTACATTTTTAGTATGTTGAAAGTGACCTAATTCTATGTACATCCCAATACTTTTTGTTTCTTTTGCAATTTTTTCCTATCTTCCTGTATTTTTGTCGTTCCTCTACTACATTATAATGCGTAACCAAAATGTGTGAGAGAAGCGGGAAGTGCTGTGAACAACAGGCCCAGAGAGTATGTAGCCTATATCTAAGAGTCTCAGATAGGCCTACCATTTTACTTGTGACAGAGATTTCAAGCATTTTATATAAACTTATGAAAAAAAGTTTTTAAATCCAGCCCCAATTGTTCTACAAAAATACGATTTAGATCTATAATCTAGATCTAGTTAAGACAAACTGATGCAAACTGCTATGGAAAGTATGGGTGACATTGATTCACCCGTTAAAGAGATATTTGAGGATAAGTTGCACCACGAAATGTTGACCGCACTATAATATAATGTGCTTATTAATAATAGGCCTATAATAAACTACTTTATGAGGTAGGCACGTTACGTTTGCAGTTTGCACTGCACATGTGTGCCCCACAAACACGTGTCCACAAACTGCCACAAAGCCAACAGCGACAAAGAGTTTTCCCACTTGTTACATTAAATTATTATTATTGGGCCTAACTTTGAGAGGTCGAGAGCTTGCCTATTGTTGCATTGAACTCAATGAACTGCGCCCAAGGAGCTTAGAAGTACTATAAACTCCTTGGCCTAAACCAGAGAGTATTTAATTATTTTAAGAGTCTCTGCCTAAACGCCTAAACCTAGGCTATACGTTCTCTGACCGCCTAGGCCTAAACCAATCAGTAATCAGATAAAGTACTGTTGACGGTCTCATTGGCATCAGCTGTTGTTGATAAATGAGCCATATTGGCGCGTGTTGCAAGATTCTTGCATTCGATAGATCTATTTTCTGATTCGTATTAATAACCCTACGCCTATGACCCTCTTACCATATTTCACTATTAGAAAAATACATTTATAATGGAGCATGGTTCATGTGTGAACAGTTGACGAGGAAAGGAGAATAGGACCACACATTCATTATATTATTAAGATAACAATAACGTTGGAAATCTGGCTTATTCGTCTTGCAAAACTTCTAAAAATAGCCACAGTGTTTACAACAATCAGCCTGTCGGTCGGTTTCCAACGTTTGTTTCACTTTCACTTCACGATTCGTGACCTCGAGTGTTATCAACCAGGATGTTATAAATTGTTAGGCTATGACCTGATTGTAAAGAGCTGTTTTCCGTTCATTTCATTTCCTGAAAGTTACTGGCAGATCGGTATAGATCTACTGCGTTTTTTTCTGTCTAGGCCTACACATTTCGGTCAAGATTCACAGTGGAGTGTCTGAAGAAAGCCAATCTAAAAATCTGCAGAAAATTCGACGAAAAGGTAGGCCTAGAGTAGGCTATGTTTTTGTTTTTAGAATTAAATCTAGATTTCTAGATCTATAATCTAGTAGATCTAGATCTATATTTAATATGGCTATGGTAATATAGATTCTAGATCTAGTATTAATGAGTATTATTTATTAGTCTCTTTGTCTTTGATTTTCTTGACACGGACTCGTCTTAGATACCCGAGCTTGTGTTGTTTGTTTATCCCATTCTTAGATCTAGAATCTAGAATCTAGATCTAGATCTAGATCTACATTTTGGAATGGGAATATTATTTGACAAACAAGATCATGACAATGTCTGGATAGGCATAGGTCTATAATATTGTAGATTTCCACGTGATGCAAACACAGTTGCCAGTGAAATTTGAAATGAGGTCAAAATACCACGTGAGATTATCCTTCTTCTAAAATGCAAGTTCAGTAATAAATAATAACACTAGATCTAGATCTATACTATTCCTAGCCTATGTACAATTTAATATATGATAATTATTTATAGAATATGGTAAAATACTTTTAACTTGTTGAGAGCTGTTGCTTTTATCATACTACCATGAGCCGTGGGACACATTCTTTAGTCTAGGTTTTTTGCTCTGTGACTGTGTCATGATATATTTTAAGATTTAATCAAATTTCTCCCATTAATAAGCTGATACCACTGACTATAACCGATAGACAGTATTCTGAAAGAGACAGAGAGAGAGAGAGAAGAGGGGAGGAGTAGATCTGTGTCTCCTCGTCACCCTTTGTTCAGGTTTTCCAATTTATTATTATGGTCTCTGGGCAGTATCTGTGGATCTGGGTCTATATACCTGCCTCATTCGCCTTCCATTTTTCTTGTGAGAGCAGGATGTTCAAAGCCTTTTTGTTGAGTTTTAGTGTCCTCTTAGAAACTTAATTTTTGATGATTTATCTACGGTTTAATTATTTTCACTTCCTAGTTTTTCTTTCGAAGTGGTAAGTACGGCTAGACTGCCAGTCTAGCCGTACTTAGATATCTAGGTCCTATTAAAACATTAGAAAACAGGAGGTTTAAAATACATGCACTTTCATTAAGGCACCTGGTTTCATGTCTCAAATACAAATACTTTAGGCATTGCAAACTAAAAATTTCATTTACAATTCAGTAGGCCTATTTTTTGTAAATGGTCAGTCTAGCCATCAATATTAAGTTACGGCTAGACTGATGGTCTAGCCGTCCTTAAGTACGGCTAGACTGGCAGTCTAGCCGTACTTATCTAGGTCCTATTAAAACATTAGAAAACAGGAGGTTTAAAATACATGCACTTTCATTAAGGCACCTGGTTTCGTCTCAAATACAAATACTTTAGGTACTGCACACTAAAAATGTATATTTACAATTCAGTAGGCCTATTTTTTGTAAATGGTCAGTCTAGCCATCATATTAAGAATAAGTACGGCTAGATTGCCAGTCTAGCCGTCATTAAGTACGGCTAGCCTCTTCCTTTTTCTTTAGTGAGCAGCTGGCCTTTTCATTCAGTAGGCTACTTCCTCATTTGATTTCATTTGTCCAGACTGGAAATTTTCATCTTTCTTGAATCCATGTTAGAAACCACTTTTCTGTTGCTTCTATTTTATTTTCGCATTTATAATCTTTGGTTATCGTCCAGTATTCACAGCTGTAGATGGGTTGACCACACATATATTGCCTTTTAGAACCCTCATAAATTATGATTTCTGTCTAGTGATTGAGATGTTTCTTTCAGGATTGGGTTATATACTTTGATTGATTGATTTAGTTTTGATGCGCTGGTTCTGAATTTGATATTACTTTAATATATGGATAATATGTGTAGTTTTCAGTGTACAAATTTTTAGGGGGGATGGGGATGCGGACGCAACAGTGTCCCTCTGGTGGGCAAGATGCAAAAAAATCAAGCACTGCCTCCTGGTTTTTTTTTGCCATTCAGCTGCCTGGATATGGTCTGCTATGCCTGCAACATGTCTCAAATTCAGAACCAGCATTACATCAATATTAATAAAATGAATTTGTGTGTGAAATTTAGCTAGAATCTAGCTGGCTACATAATTAATTCTCCATTTTTGAGTCATTTTTGTTGGAGAAAGAACCATTTTTGCCATCGCTCTACTTTTAAGAATGTCTGAAAATATTATCCCTATATCAGGGATGAACAAACTACATAATCCAGGTGCTAAGCATGGCCTCCGTAAATTTTCTGGGAATTACTATAAAAGGGAAACAAAATTAAACAAAGTGATCACATTTTTGTCTAATCATACAGTCAAACTTTTCCAAAGGGACCACCCATTGTTGAGGAAAAAAGTGATCACCTTGTATTAAGAAGGTCCTGTTGGACCGTGTCATTATTTTAAAAAAATACTTGTTGAGAAGTGGTCATTTGTACCCGTAATTGTCAAGAGTAGGTTCGACATACTTGAGCTGAGACCAGGTTTTGTGGAGTTCTCAAAGTCTGAGCCATTTTCTTAATTGATAAAAATAGTAAAGTAAGTTACCTTGACATGATGTCCAGTTTTACAGGGTTTCGTCTTGTCTTGTTCATCTGCATCGCCCTTGGTCTGAAAAGTTTGCCCACCCCTGGACTATAAGCCATATTATATGTAACTAAAGAGAGGGAGTTCATGTTTTTCTGAATTTCCTTTGTTTGCAAAGTAAAATTTGCATGCTAGAGAAGAAAGCCACAGAGTAAACTGTCACTCCACTGGCCTATGGAGAAAGTTTGTATACTGTCCTGCTTGATGAGAAACTCTGAGCTCCTCTTATTCAAGGATAAATGACATCTTACATCTCTGAACTGATGGTGGCTTCGGCACATACCGTATATATATAGCACTTTGATTTTATGTGTGTTTTCATATTATAATAACCATCATTTGTTGAAATGACTAAACTAGTAGAGTGCAGCGGCGACATTTCTAGTCACTCACCCCTTCTGACTGTTCTCTGTTACAGGCTGACAGTGAAAGAATTTGAATTTGGTTGCCTTACAAAACAAATCATGGAGAATGAAGAAATTGCGAGTGATGATTCTAATGAGTATGAGGAAGGAGACTCGGGATCTGATGATGTTGACTATTATCAGTATTATGCTATGGTAAGTCTTTGTTTCCAGAGCTGGTAGTAACGGAGTACAAGTACTCCGGTACTTGTACTTACGTTACAATTTTCGGTACTTTTACTGTACTCCGGTACATTTTTTAAACCAGTACTTTTACTGTACTCCGATACTTTTTATAAAAGTACTTTTGAGTACTTTTTAAGTACATTTTGAGTACTTTGGTAGCTTAATAAAAGGGTAAGCAGGCATTTCTGATCATAATTTACGGAACAAAAACCCGATCAACCGCCAAGAGTTAGAAGTTGAGATCAAAGAACGGCCCGTCGCCTCAAAGATCAGCCACTATCGTGAATGTGATCACAAGTGTTGTAAAACTCCATGAAACGGTACAGTGTTTGCTCCAGACGGGATCACACTGAGGTGTGAACTGACCGATGCGTTTCTTTTCCCCAAACATCGCACTCGCATCTGACCTCACCACCTAAACTTACATCACTCCCTGGGTGGGTAGGGCCTATACGTTCGCTCCAGGCGGGATCACATCAAACTGTGAACTCTTCCCTGACCATTGAAAGCAGTTTTTCCCGAATTTGGGAGACAACCTGAATTTTAATTAGTGTGGTCACATCGTAATGGTGCGTAACGACAAAGGAGGTGGGGGGGGGGGGGGACTCAATCAGAGATGGAAAGCTAAAATTGTTGGACAGGTAAAGGGGAGGGGCAACTGGATAAACGTAGATAAAGATCTCAAGACTCAGGATAGGCTAATGAGTGTGTATATATAATATTATTTATGGCATGCCTCATGCCACTGTGATTTGTAATCAAGGTTGACCACTCTTTGCTTGCCATATGTCATAAATCCACCCAGGGGTCACGTCAGTTCATGGGTCACTGTAGATTCTTCCTTGGCTTCATTGGCTAAGATCCCATATTTTCCTTGCTTCCGAGCACTGGGATCTTAGGCGGAGACTACTGCAGTAGAGAATCTTTGGTTACCGGTACACTACACTTACTAGACTCTAGGAAACTATTGTCTTTTGGTTTGCCGTTGGCGCCGTGGACTACACAGTGTGACCAAAATCTGTCAGACCACTATAATCAATTGAAGCTGAAACTGTGTTCTCAATGTGTATCTAACAATTTTTAGGCTGCCTAAATTTCTTTTAAACTTTTTTTGGGTGGTTTTTGCTTAAGGCTACATTGATTCCTTGAGGATTTGTTAATGAAGAATTCAATGCGCTTTTCCATTTCTATGCGGGCCATTTTCATCAATTTTATGTTTTCTTAAGAGCAACTTTGTATCTACATTTTTCAATTTGGATACTCTTTCTGTGGAACTTTCCAACCTCTAGGACTGACTTACATTTGATCACATTGTCTTGCTCAAACAAGTTCTATTCATAATAGCACTTACCCACTAGTTGCGTCTGTTCGTTTGGGTTGTTTTTTGTTCAACTTCACGGACCATTTCCACCGTTCAGTGCGTACATTGTATATTCAAATGCTTTGTATACTGTTTACATTTTTAGTAATAAATAGCGTAATTTGTCAAATATACTGGATAAGTTATAAAATATGATATTTTGCATAAGCGCTGAAGTGTTTTAGCATATTAGCAGAAAGTACTCAAAATGTACTCGTAAGTACTTTTTTAAAAAAGTACTTGTACTCAAGTACATTTTATAGGAAAGTACTTTTACTGTACTTAAGTACATTTTTTAGATTGTACTTAAATTTGTACTTAAGTACTTTTTTAAAAGTACTTTAACAGCTCTGTTTGTTTCCTTTTTTTGGTGTTGCAATTTTGAATTAATTTTTTAAAAAATGTTTTGTTTCAATCCTTTAATTATTATTTTTAAAAAGAAAGAATATAATCTTATAATGCTCATCATCATTGCAAAGAAAAATGTGTGTCAATTGGAATATAAAATCTATTTTATAATGTATTAATATGGAAAAATAGTCATGTTAAAATTTTAACAATTGAAATGAATCTATCTTTTGGGAGAGAGTGATTTGTTATTCTGGCAAGTATTCTTATGTTAACTCAACTGTATTTATTTTGTTCCCACATTTAGGGTAAATTCAAATGTATTATGATGGATTTTCACATAGATTCTCTCATGTTTTGGATCCAGATTGTGAAATGTTTTGAAGAGTCATTTGTAGTTTAAAGTTTGTACACGGTTAGCTCTTTCTGCTTCAACAGCTTTTAGCTTGCTTTTTTGGGTGTAAGAAAGAGCTGGCTTTTTAATGGGGCAAAACGTCCGTTTCAACACGTCTGTTCCTTTTTGTTTTGTAGAGCTTAGATGACCCTCCTGGCTTACCAAAGGTCTGCCCCCAGCTGAAGAATGACATGGATATGCTTACTCAAGTTCTCTCACCCAAGGCCTTAGAGTTTCGGTAAGCAAATTTTTTCCCCTCCCAATGTATACTGTTTACTTTCTTTTTGTGTTGACAAGATACAGTTGAACGAACCTGCCTTGGCGGCCACTCTATAAGACGGCCACTTTCCATTTCCCCCCTTGCATTTTTTCTATATAATTTCACTTTGTAAAACAGCCACCTGTCCAACACGACCACAGCCACCATATTTTAACACCCAACCCCTATCACACCAAACAATAACACCTGCCTTAGACGGCCACCTTAGTGACTCCATTACGTTTTGTCATGAATTGTGCATTGGCCCCTGGCGTTGTGGGTGAGCCGTCATAATCCAATCACCTGTCGTTGCTGTTAGGTAGTTCCCTCCAACCGATCATGTTGCGTTGACCCCTCCCACTGTTGACCAATAGGTAACAAATTTTCAGCTGCTGGTGAGGTAAGCTTGTGATCCCTCATAGATAACCCATAAGCCCAGAACTCATACACAAATCGTAAGTGAGATGGATGGTCACTATTTACCCAGTCTATAACAAAGTAACAATGAACGTCAACATGAACTTTTGACCGAAGCTTCGTTCGCTCTCCGAGTGGTGGTGACCCATGTGTTTGTTTTCACGTGGCACTCAGTTTTCCTCTTTTTGACACATTTCATTTGATTGTCTCCCTTGCTCGACAAAATCAGCCACAAAATAAAAAAACAAAACAAAATACAAACCAACAACTACAACAACAGTGCAGCTACTTTCGGTTGGGACCTCAGAAGGGAATGGTTTGTTTTTTTCATCTTGATCAGTCCTACCTAAAATGGCCACCTGTCTTTATACAGCCACTTTTCTCCTTGAAAATGGGTGGCTGTCTTACACAGGTTCGACTGTATTTCAGTTTTACTGAGGACAAAATTGAAAGAGATATATAGTTTCTTTTTTGTTGGTTTGACTCTGTAGATCTACAAGATGATAATGTAGCATGGAAAAAAATAGTTCTCCCTTTAAGTAATGCAGAAGCTTAAATAAATCTATGTTTGAATGTTGAGCATAGACCATGATGACAGAAAAATGTCGAGATGTACATCTTCATTAATCCATTGGTAAGAGATAGTTCTAAATAAAGGATCCAAAGTGTCCTTTCCAAATCTCTGACGTAGAGAATCCATCTGTTCTTATTTTTGATGTAGTTGCAAAAACTCACTGAAGATTTAATAGTATTGTATGCCCCCTCTGTTCAGAGTACCAAAGCATGGCTAATATGGTGAATGATGTTACATGTATTTTTGAAAAAGATGTTAGCATGTGACCTATTACACATTAAGGGGGGAGATACACCTGATAAGACTGGCGGCACGAAAAAATTCACCAAAAATTCATTTTTCAATATTTTCAATTACTTTTTTCTTTAAATTGCAGCTGAGATACCAAGCTTTAAAATGAGAATAAGTGCTTTTGAATATAACTTCAGAGAAGGTGGTAAAAATGCAAAACCATGAACAAGTTGAAATTTCACAATAAAAAAGGTAACATAATTGCGTGCATGATTCTGAACACAAATGTAGGAATTTCAAAACAACATAAACAAACTAAGTAAATGAGGTACCAATGCATCTCTTGTCTGTTGTAGATTTTCAATATACTTATTTTTTAAAAATATATCAGCCCTAAAATGTCAGCTTTTTTTCCCCTCAAAATTCTGTGATATCAAGAGTGATGAAAATAAAAGTATGCAGAATATAAAAAATCTAAAACAGACAAAAGGTGGCAAAAACAATGAAGAAGAAATGCTGAAAATTTGAAGGAAATCTGTAAAAAAATAAGGGAGATATCATGCGCGCAACCTCTAAAACTGCAGATTTTCGGAGAAAATCGACAACCAAAAATTTGCACTAACCTCGATAGTGCAGCTTTTATCATGCTCTCATTTTGAATGTTATCTTACAGCTTCACCAAGACTGCTTTTTATTTTCTGATACGATGGCTTTGTCACTGGTGGAGGCAAGTTCATAATGCCACAAAAAGTCTGCAGGGCAGTTAGGCCACATCCAATGTACGGCATTGCAAGAGCAATCCGTCTATTTATCGAGTGATTGATAAGTCCACTAGACCCACTTGACCACCTTTTAGCTGCCACAGAAGGGTCAGAAAAGAATGGCTCTGAAACTTTACACTTTCTGTTCTCACAAATGAAATGAAAGACACTCCCCTACCCATTTCGCTTTTCTTCAACGAGCCTCGCCGTGCTATGACAATGTCGGCAGACAGGATCCGAGGTTTCGGAGAATGTCAAAGTCTATAATTCTATAACCAGAGTCATTTTCTAGATTTAGATCTAGATCTAGATCTCCCCCCTCAGAATCAGAATTATCACTACTAGATCTAGATCTAGAGCAGTCTTTGTCACCGCTATAGAGGCTTTCTAACTTGATCTTTGATCTGCTGTAGGTTGGAGTGGTTGGAGCATAATTTCTATTTTGATCTGGAGTCTGTACGTTGATGCTAGAACTAGTCTACTAATCGAGTCAGACCCATTTGATCTGGACACATCTTCTTACCCCACTTCAGATAACCTTTTTTTTCGATGCAAACTGATTGTTACTTTTGAAGAAGCCTTTCCTCTTCTTAGGTCTGGTTCCACTGGGCCTAGGCATTTTCAACTTCACAAGAACTCAAAGCAAGACACTTTCTCATTTTGTTCTCACGCTAAAGGTGTGCGAGTAACGAGTCCAGGCTCGAGTACTCGAGTAATACATGCGGCGAGTCCAGACTCGAGTCACAAGTAAATTACTCGAGTAAGGACTCGAGTAAGGACTCGAGTCCAGACTCGAGTCTGTAGGGGAAAAACAGAAAAAAGGAGAAAAATTTGGTTTTTAAAAAAGTTAAGAATTGATAAAAGAAAAATTCTGATAAGCAATTTTTTAAAACTGAAGGAAAAGGAACAAAAAAAAAAAAATACCCCTTCCCCAAAGGAAAAAATCGAACCCCCCCCCCCCCCAGAAAAAAGCAAAAAGGAAACCACTGTTAGAAACCCACGATGTCCAATCAAACTTCTTTCTTTTATGAAGTGCATTGTCTGAGGTTTACAGATTGTGTACATTTTATTCTTACTGTTGTAACAAAGAATTATTTAAAAAAAATAAAAAATAAGATAAGATAAGATGAAGACTACCTCTATTCTAGCTTAGTTGTTAAACAGTTGTAAGCTTCTCACTCACCCGGGGTGAGAGAGCGAGCCTTTTGGCTATTCTCTTCATGTGTGCGTTTACCGTGATGTGATACCCAGTGTAAACCACAGAATTCTAGATCTACACTTTTTAAAAAATTGAATTCTGTCGTGTAAACAAACGTTCCAGTCCTCTTGTGTTAAAAACATGCAATTTTATCTGCGGGCATTGAAAGAGAGAGAGAGAGAGGAGTAGCCTAGATATAGCGAGAATTCTGGGCAAAACAAAATTCCGATTAGGGTAGTTCGGCTCTATTCTAAAAGTGAAACAGCCGTAGCATCATTGTAGACCACCAAATTAGTTTTACTTTTGTGTTATAATATCATTTTTTTAAAAAGGGGTTTGTCTATTTAATCATCCTCACCGATAGGAAGTATTCAGAAATTAGGAACACCCGGTTTTGTTTCACAGCGGGTGAGAATAGCCAACACTGGCTAGTCTCACCCGGGGTGAGAGGTCGATCACATTTTTATTCTCACCTGGGGTGAGAATAGCCACTTCCTAAGATAAAATAAAATAAATACGGTATAAACAGCATATGTCTAGAATTGCCATAAGCCTACTCAAGCTCCCTCCTAGGAATGCACTCTATTTTCTGTCCGATATTCAACAAAACCTTTTTTGAAACCCACTAAAATTCCCTTTCGGGATACTATTACTCGAGTAATAACTCGAGTCTTAAGAGCCGTGGGACTCGAGTAATTACTCGAGTAATTACTCGAGTCCAGAGCAGATACTCGAGTCGGGACTCGAATCTTAATATGCTGGACTCGCACACCTCTAGTTTCAAGTGTTTTGTTTCGCTTCCCAATGTTTACAATGTTGAATTTCAGCCTTGAAAGGGAGTAGTTCATTATTTGGAACAATTTTTGACAATGCAAATAGCGCAGCTTTCCCCTACAAAATCAAAAATGTGGCGTCTGTGGCCTAGTGGTTAGGCTCTCGGACTCGCAACCGTAAGGTCGTGGGTTCGAATCCCGTCAAGGGCCCGACGTTGTGTCCTTGGGAAAGGCACTTTACACGAATTTTCCTCACTTCACCCAGGTGGGAATGGGTACCCGGCTATAGACAGCGAAAGATCTTGTCAGTTTGTTAGTGTTTGAGCGCTTAATCGGCTGCTCGCACTGTATGCTTCCCGGGAAGCTGAGCATGTTTGGGAGTGTTCTATGGTCTGCTGGGGTAATAATATAGTGTAAAGCGCATAGAGCCTGCTGTTGAGCGGGGATATGCGCTATACAAATGCTATCTATTATTATTATTATTATTATTAAAACAAACTCGTTGCTAGGGTAAACACAGTAAAAATCACATCAACTGCTTACACCTAGGTTCAGAAAAATATTTGTAAAATAAAAACTAATTAACAGATTCTGAAAATTTAAAAACAAAGTAAACTAGAATAATAGCCGCTCCCCATTAACTAGAAATGAACCACTAATTCGTGATTCGGTAATTTCGCATTTTATCAGGTGTATCTCCCTCCTTAACAGACAAGATGTCTTTTATCATGGCATCTTGTGGCAGAGTTTGAACTGCAATGCTTTTTTTTCAATGACAGTAAGATCAAAACGATTTTGTCCCTTCCATACTTTATTGAATTAAATAAAATTCACATTTATTGTTAACCATAAAGGAAATGTTTGCGCATATGCCTCTTACAGATTTTTGTTCTTCTATTTTGCTTTGAGAGTTGTCTGTTTCAACCTTATTTGCTTACCATACAGTCCAATCTGTCGAAGATGACCTCCCATTGTCGAGGAGAAAAATGGTCATCTTAGAACCTCAGACAGATGGTTCTCTTGGACAGTTTTATTCTATTTTTTTTTTTTATGAAAGGGTGGAAGGTGGATTTGATTGTTCTTTACTGGTCCATTCATTAGTTTAATTTGCTTTGATTATAATAATTTGTACAACTGCTAATTTTTTCGTATGGCATGTTTTTTTTCCAGATCATTTGATGACATCAATGAAATGGATATAGATATTTTTGTATCAACTGCGAGCTTGGAGGTAAATATTTTGTGCTTGTACATAAAAGTATATATTTTTTTGTGCCATGAGTAATTAAGTGGTTTTCATATTTACATTGTGGTGACTAAATTTTTCCCCTGTCTGTTCTCTCTTTCCTACCAAGCCACTGTCTCCATTTATACGCTTTTCAGTTTAAAAGAATTGACAATTATAGGAGCTGAGTGCCCTTTACAGAGCTGTAAAGTTGTTTGAGTGTTGAGACCATTGAAGTTAATGTTTGCCTCTTATAGGACCAACCTAAGTGGGTAAAGAGCCTTAGAAACTCGCCATACAACCCAAATTGAAAAATGACCTTATTGTGGATTTGAATCTGCACCATACTCAGCCTGATACCAACTGAGTTTGTGAAATGTCCCTTTTTTTAGTTTCAGTTTGTGGAGTCAATAAGTGAGCCTTAGTCAGAATTTGCCCCGTGTCATCCACCCTAGCCTTGTTTTCGCTTATTTGCATGTGAATAAAGAGATGCAAAGGGGGGCTCTTGTGGCCTAGAGGTTAAGGTGTTCGCCTCTCATTCAAAGGTCCCGGGTTCGAATTCGGGTAGTGACCGAAAGATTTTCTTCTCTAAAATTGTCTCCTTTTACCCCCTTTCCTGCTCTCAAGCAATGGTCTGTCGTCTGCTTTTGTCTCCACTTTCTGCCCCCACCCCCTCACCTCCTTTGTCTCCTCCTCTAGGCTCCTGACTCTTTTTGCAGCCTTTCAACTGCTACCCCTTGGCTGCTTCTTACTGCTGTCTTTCAGCCACACCCCTGATTTTCTGGTAGGAAAGGTCTACACCTAGCCTTCTCGAACAAGGGAGAATAATGTTGAAGGTCTTGTGTGCAAGCTATACACGTTAAAGATCCCTTGGGGGTCTAAAATTGATGAGAGTATGCTTTGGCCGCCACCTGGGCAAAATAAAAAATTTCCTACCAAATAAAAATGTTTAATGTGTCCCGCACGCTCATATGACCTCATGCAGTTGCGAGCGCTGTAAAACACTTATCTAAAAAAAAAGAAAAAAGAAATGCAAATCAATGCAATAACAATTGGTCAGAGCCGTGAAGAAGCAAAACAGAGAAACACTTGGAAAAAGGAATAGTACTTCAAAGTAGAACCTATCAGTGGCGCCCTCCAACTACTCAGTCTAGTTACTTGAAATGTTGGCAGAATAGGTACAGAACTTTTAGGCCAGGAAAGAGTGAAGTATATATTTTTTTAGACTTTTATTCTTTTGTGTCAATCTGCCCCTTCATTTATTTTTCTACACTCAATTTTCACATGTTTTTTAAAGTGCCAGGTAAAGATATGTTGGAACACATTTACCCATTTTCTAAATTTGTACAGGTTGTCTAAAGATGCAAAGATCTGCATGAAATATTGTCAATAGCTATAGTCTGGGTGATACTTTGAAGGCACCTCATTCAGAAACTATTTCATATGAAGAAGCATGACAAAATATAGACTGCATCTCTTTCTCTCTCTCTCTCTCTCTCTCTCTCTCTCTCTCTCTCTCTCTCTCTCTCTCTCTCTCTCTCTCTCTCTCTCTCCCTCCCATCATCCCCCTCCTCTCACTCTCTCTCTCCCACCCCCCCCCTCCTCTCACTCTCTCTCTCTCTCCCATCCTCCCCCTCCTCTCACTCTCTCTCTCTCTCCCATCCTCCCCCTCCTCTCACTCTCTCTCTCTCTCTCTCTCTCTCTCTCCCATCCTCCCCCTCCTCTCACTCTCTCTCTCTCTCCCATCCTCCCCCGCCTCTCTCTCTCTCTCTCTCTCTCCCATCCTCCCCCCCCCCTTCCCCTCTCTCTCTCTCTCTCTCTCTCTCTCTCTCTCTCTCTCTCTCTCTCTCTCTCTCTCTCTCTCCCTCCCATCGTCTCCCCCCCCCCTCTCTCTCTCTCTCTCTCTCTCTCTCTACATTGTAGTTTGTGGCAAATTTGTATGGTCTTATCTGTTATATTTTATTTCCTTTTTGATTAACATATGTGGCTTTGTTTTTGGTCTTCTTTTTATACTTCTGTGTGTGTTATTACAATTTATAGAAAAGCGTGGCAGAAGCTTGGGGTCTTGTCTACCAGGAGCCTGTGGTTGTTCGTCTGTGTTTGAACCAGAGATTGTATCTGGAGGCAAATGGTAAGCATAATCATATTCTCTTTGCTAAGGGTCACTAGACTAGTGATTGACATTGCTGTACAAAAAGTAGAATTTAAATTTTAATGTGAAACTTACATTCAAAAACTGTCTTTGACGGGCTTGTATGTTTTGCTAGAGACAAAAAGCTCTTTTTCCCCTCGACGTCTTAGAGGTACAAGAGGACGGGTAAAGTAAGAAAGTAAGCAAGCATGTTTTGGATTGGTGTTTTTTTGTGTATGAAGTCTTTGCTTTGACAATGAAACCATGTAGGAAGGGTTTTGGAAAAACTTGAAAAAGAAAAAAAACCCGGCAATTCAAATGTCTGGCCACTAAATTTCGTGTTGTTATCCTTTCAGCGTGTGTAAGTGTTTTCTCTTACTTTGCTTTTGAAATAGAAAGCATGTGATAGAATTGTTAGCAACAAGTCTGTCGACGAAATTTTTATTTGGTATCCTGTTTTTGTCCTCAAACTTTTTTTTGTGTACACTGAGAGTAGCAGTGTGGTTTGCAGCAGTGCGGTTTGCAGATCACGTTCTGTTTTGCTTGAGTATGAATTGAACCGTTATATTGTTACTTACATTACGAAAGGAATAAGGACTTTTGAAACCCATTGAGCACCGCCTTCCTAAATTTACAGGACCTGATCTTCCTTTGGTTGATTCATGTTTGTGCTTGGGTCCACAGGATAAATAATGACTGTTTAGAGCTTGTTTCCATATAACAATTTTTGTGTGTTTTTCTCAAAATAGTTGATTTCATTAATCTTTTCTCTTTCTCTTTTTCTTTTAGATATTATGAAGATTGAAGTATTACAGAAGTCATGTTCAAGTTCCGTAGTCCTTTCACAGCTTAAAAAGTAAGTATACAATTATAATGTAATATGTATGGTAAAATTTGTTTTATAGCCAAACTTGTTATGTAAGACGTTTGCTTTTCAAACAAAACTTTACCCAATGGTTCTTTAAAAAAAAAAAAAGTGTAATTTCAACTCAATGTTGTGTTCTTAATTTTTGCTTGAAAAGAAATAGTGGTGGTAGAAATAAGGATGTCATTGTTGGGGAGGGTGGGGGGAGGGGGTGTTTGTGTATTAACAAGTAGAAAAAAATGTTATTCCTGTTCAATAAGCTTGTTTAAACAAATTTTTTTTTGATGCAACATATTTTGTGACATGAAACTCTCCTTGGTGGAGCCTGTTAGATGAATCACGTTTCTCCTTGTTTTTTCTTTAAGGATTATTGAAACATTCTGTCGAGAGCAGTTTTCAAAGTTGGATAACGAAGCAGTACAACATGCTGTCAGCAAGACTCTACCTCAGACTGCATGGTTTGTACATTGTTTTACAATTTGCTACTCATGTCTAGATGTGTAGTGTATTTTTTAGTATATGCCTGAAAAGGCAGGACAAACTACAAATTAGCACTTTGTTGTTAAAAGTTTGGATTCATAAAGAGATTGGCATTATGTTATGACTTGAGGCTTTCCGCTATTTGTTTTTATAAATATTGCTAAAGACGGACACAGGCATGCACACTTATATGTATATCATTATTGTTGCAAGAAAATCACGTAAATGTTTTGACTTTGAAATTGCAAGGTGAGTAAAAAACATCAGATTAACCCATTTTTTCTTCTGACATGGAGATTGTGAATAAACAAATAACTTTGGTACACCAAAATAAAACTTTGAACTGTAATAACTTGTTCTTGATAAATGTTTGTCTTTGGGGTTTTGTGGTGTATTGAGGGCACAATTTTTTTCATGCTTGTGTTCAGTATTTTATGCAAGAATCAGCAGAGGGATGCGTTTTGCATGAGTTGAAAACTCTAACAAAAATTATATTGTCCTGTTGGTCAAGGTCATTGACTTATTTTTAGCAGTGTTACATGATGTTGCAATGAATCACTTTGTTGCCAAAATAAAGGGCGGATGAATGGTAGTCTCCCTATAATGCAGTACTTCTTTACCTGTAGCATGCCTTTGATGGTGCAGATTTTTAGTTGTTTCAGCAGTTCCTCATTATGCAAGTACCTGAAAGTCAAGAAGTTAAGAAGTTGGAGCTTTCAAGAGCTGGTGTTGGACATTTTTTTGTGTTGTGGGGGGGTGGGGTGGAGAAATAAAACAGGCATAGTTGTGTTTTGTTTATTACTGTGAATTTTCTTACACGTATTGTTTATCAAATCTAGTGGCAAGGACAACTCTCTGGCTGAGATTTTTCAAATGGGCTTTAGACTGGAAGATGCTCAGGCTGCCTTTACGGTGGCTGAAGGTGATAAGCAGAAAGCTGTCGAGCTGCTTTTGACAGGGTTCAGGTGAGTTGGTTTTAATGTTTTGTGTATTCTGTCTGAAAACAGTATTTTGTTAGCTAAGGTGATTGACCTTCATCTAAATTTAGAGAGATAAAGAACCAGTGCCTCCAATACAAAACATTAAGTTTATTTTACATTTTTCTGAATGCATAATGATTATTGTGTTGTAGCTGATTTAACATGGGTTTGAATTGAAAGTGAAGTAGAACGAGTATCTGCAATACCAGTCTGAGTTTTATTTTAGTATTCTATGTAAAAGTAAGCTTTCTGCTGTGTTAGTATCCCTTGAACGGTTAATACTGTTCCTTTTGTGTACAATTGTGGTTTGACTGAATTTCTGGTCTTTTCGTAAAGTCTTACTTTTCTAGAAAAGTTTTTTGTCCACATGTCTGTCGTTCGTGGCAGTTGTGATATTGTACGTCATTTACATTTATATTCCCAGAGTGGAAAGTGAACTGTATGTGCAACCGCATACCCCTGTGACATCAGACCCAAAGGAAATCCCTAGTTTGGAGAGAGGTTTTCTTCTTCAGGTGGGTATATCCCTTAGCATGAACTCACATCGTGCTGTTTATGTGGTTTTTAAAAATGCATTAGATAAAAGAATTATGTATTTAAATCCAGGTTTTGCAGTGAAAAACGCAGTTGATTAGATTTTGGCTGTAATTTGATGATTACAATGTCTACAAATTTGTATTGTGTAGCCTACAGCTGTTATGAATATTTCTAGCAGATGTGGTTTATCAGTTTTGTTGAGAAAGGAAGTATGCTTTTGAGTCCTTTTTACTAAAGATTTCTGGGTTACTTTCTTAGAGTAATGGTTATTTTGAATTCTGTACTAGTATTGTAATTGAAGTGCCTAGCTTCCAGCTCATATAATCTGAGGTATATTGGGAGGGGGGGTCAAATTTTAAACTTTTTTTTTTCTTTTTTGGGTGTGCGAAGTCATGTTAGCATTCTATTATAATAATTTTGCATGCCTGTTAGCTTATTCGTGCCTTCAGTACTGGTTGCAATGACATAATGTCTTTGGTTTTGTGAAGTTTGTCCCTTGTTATTTTGAAGGGGTTTCTTTACAGATTGTTATGAAAATTTAGAGTGTGAATTTTTATTTCCATGTATCTTGTCATATGATGGTCTGTTCTGCACATGATGGCAAATCTTGCTTGACTTTGTATAAATAAATAAAATTCATTTTTTGTTTCTGTGTCCAGCTTCATGACTTTGTGCAACAAAGAATGAAAACTCTGAACGAGTTTTGCCCAATTTGTGACAACAAGCATGATGTTACAAGGCAGTCCATGTTGAAGGTATGTAGCTCCTGATAATTAACGTTTTTAGTCTAATCTATTGGAGGCTTCATCCTTTTTGCTGCTGGATGTAGCCCTGCACAGCTGCCCTCTGTCTTGCTGCTTCTTCCTTGCTGTATGTTTTTTGTCTGTGTCTTAAGTGTCACTCCGTTCACCTCTTTGCTTTTCTGTCATCTGAAGGTCTTGCTGCATTCTTATGTACTGCTTTCTCTCTCTCTCTGTATTGTCAGATACACAAGGCAGTGAGAAGTCATTGCCATGCTAGTCTGTCCTTGGCCACTCATTCTATCTTTAACATATTTAAACCCTGGCTGATTGCTTCATGTTTGGTTATACTCCTATAACTGCAGTAGGTCCACCTCTTCGTCCTGCTACATGCCCAGCCTGTTTCCCCTTTTGTTTCAGTGCCTGTTCCTGTTCTAAAACATCTGTGATATCTGTTTTTTATCTAACTCTTTAATCTTATATTCGAAGCTCTCTTTTGATATGAAGCCTGATACTGACAATCACATCACTAAATTAGTTATTAAAGAAATTTTTTTAAAATAGGTGCACCGATTCTGAAAGTTCTTCACCTAATGAAAGAACTGCCGGAAAAAGAGACGCTGTGCAGATACTTTCTTCTTTAGTCTAATAAGGCTCGTCGTTTTTCGTTCCAAGTACTCTTAGACCAGTTTGTAGTTTTCTAGCAAGGGCCTACCACCTCAGAGGCAAATCTGTACTGTTGAGGGCCAAGTATCACTAAGTAAAACCGATCACTACTGACTTGAATTTTATTTTATTGATGATCTAACATTAACAGTTTTTGGTCTAACAAAATCACATATATATAAAGGTACCAAAAGTCGGATTTAGACCATTTTGAGTTAATGATTGTACCTTATAGGAAATTCAATGCTGAACACATTGATTACATTTTTTTTTTATATTGCACATTTTGCAAGGGAGAGTATAAAGATATAATTTTTAGAAAGTGAGCTTTGAAGTTTAACAAACCTGAGACCACATACAAACTTGTAAAAATAACCCTACAGATGATTCAGTTGTTTCTAATGTATTTATTCATGAAAAATTCATTTCCAATTTGGCATTCAGTTTACATCCATATCATGATTAGAATTAAATGATAAAACATAACAGGGAAGAGAAAGAAACATGCTTCAAAAATAGATTTTATCACGTTTTAAAAGCAGTTTTCAAAACTTTTTGTTTTTATTACCCTAACCTTACAATAATTCAAAATAAAATATTTAAAAGTAACATCCATGAAAACCCTTTGAACACATTGTGAAAAAATTGAACTTTTAGTTTTTTTGTTTTTTTGTCGATACACATTTTCATTTTTTTTAAAGTGGGTTTTTTTGGTGTTTTTTTTTGGTCATTATCAGCCTGTACCTCGAAACGGTCTTGGTACCTTTATCCAGATGAACAAACACACACACACACACATACACACACACACACACACACACACACACACACACACACATATGAATATATTTTCTAAAAAAATCTCACTTTAAACTTTTGGAAATTGTTGATCTCTAACAAGTAGTGTGCTAATCTCATATAGATCTATGTGTGTATGCCTAAAGAAAGGTATCAAAATCAAAAGTTGGATTTTAACCATTTTCAGTAAGGGTTGTACCCAATAGGACATTCAATGCTGAACACAGTGGTGTTTTAATTTTTGAGATGTCTCAAGTAGTTTTTTAGATATTGCACATTTTGCGAGGTAGGGTATAAATATCTAATTTTGAGAAAATTAGCTTTTAAATTTAGAACACTTACAAACTTGAAAAAATTGATGGTTTAATTGTTTCTAATGTATTTATTCATGGAAAATTCGTTTCCAATTCCGCATTCTGTTGACATCAATATCATGATTAGAATTCAATTGTAAAACATAGCGGGGAAGAGACAACATGCTTCAAGAACAGATTTTAACACCTTTTAAAAGCAGTTTTCGTTATCTTTTTTAAAACACACCCAATACTCAAAATATTTCAAAATAAAATATTTTGAAGTCAAATCAATGAAATGTGTTTAACATAAAAAATGGTGGAACTATCATTTTTTTAATGGAAACCCGTTTTGGTCAAAAAAGTGATTTTTTTGGTCATTATCAGCCTGTAGCTCAAAATGGTCTGTGGCGACTTTTGGTACCTTTCTTAGGCTCACACACATATTCTCCCTTTTTACTTATACTTATACCATTTTTATAGTTCCAGGTATATTAATTTTATAACGGTATTGCCAGTTGTTTGTTTCTGCCTAATTGAACTCAAAATTTGATGTGTGAGCCAATCTGAAAAAAACCCAACCCAACCTAGCATGGATTGAGTGTCACTTTTCCTCAATCCATGACAAAAAATACAAAAGTAGTGTTGTATAAAAATAAGACTTTCTGCCTGAGAAACGAGCATATTTTTTACTATTTGAAAAGAAATTGACCAGAGTTCACAATTTTATCCTATAAATGTCAACAATTTTTGTAAAGCGCTGTCTTTATTAGGTCCGTAGGAGTTAGATTATGAAGAAGATATCAGAACAATTCTGGCAGAAATAAGTTTGTCACAGTTTGAGCTTTCAATAGCCCAGTTCCACTTGTGGATGGGTGCAGTTTGCAGGCTTCTATTTTGGTTTCATCATGTTTTGTTTGTGAAACCTCATATGACTTGCTACCCACTGTAAAGGCTTGTGAACAAAAACCAACAGATGCACATTTTTAATGTAGTCCTTTTGAGAATGGCTCACATACTTGGGTCATGGATTTGTGTGTCTTGTTCTCAATGTTATGTTTTTTTCTGCTTTGTTTGTTGAGTTTTTTGTTGTGTTCCTAATTTTCACAGACTTACTACGTCGATGACCCGCAGATCTTTGAGGTACTCTCCATCAGTATTGAGGTCAACTTTACTTAAACAGATGCTCTAGCGCATGTGTAAAGAGCTTGGGATCAATAACCTTACGTGACCCAGCTTTTAATGTAGAAGCTCTGGGTGAAAATGGTGAAATGGTATAGGTTTAACACCCTTGCCAACATTAGTAAGTCATTGAAGAAGCAGGACCTCTGAGTTTCATGTCCATATCTGAAAGGAACAAGCCATATTGGTAGTTCGTGTAAAGTGCCTTTCCCAAGGACACGAGGTCAGACTGAGCAGAGGCTTGAATCCCAGAACTAGGGGCGGGCACGAGACGAGACGAGTCTCGTTTCTCGCGAGTAACGGCCTTCCCATCACTGCCCGGGCACTAAACTTCTGCTCGGTACCGAGACGTGATACTGCCCGTTGGCTTGACATAACGAGTAACGGTAACGAGAGTGAGAGGCGAGAAATGACAACGCAGACAGTGCCACCCATCACCGTGCCGTCCTGTGTGGGAAACTGAAAGGGAGGGGAAAGGGTGGCGAGACGAGGCGAGTGGGGAGTTGATCAGGGCCTAGGCCTAGGTTGTCTCCCTACCTTCCTTCACCGCCTGCGCCAGCGCAACAGGGCTAGCCTAGTTTCTAATCTAAGTTTAGATCCCCGCCACGACGGTCTTCTCGCTTAACGAGCTGCTCGTTCTGTGGGGCGAGAAGAGAAATCTCGGCCACGGCCGGCCTTCTTGCTGAACGAGTGGCTCGAACTGTGGGGCGAGAAGAGAAATTGGTCACGAGACGAGAAGCATTGCCCGAGACACGAGACGGGCAGTATTTCTCGTTCTCGGGACCGGTCTCGGCGAGAAATAGGTCAGTCGGTCTTCTCGCTCGGGAAGGAATAAGCGCTACCCGCCCGTCTCTACCCAGAACCCTTAATCTCACAATTATAGGTTCATTAGCTTAACGACTAGGTTACCTACCAATGCCACCTAGAAGCTCTAGGATGATTGTGTGGTTTCTTGTTGCAGTACTTTCATAAAGAAGTCCTAACTAATTAATGCCTCTTGTTTCTTGCACAACAATGTATTTAATTTTCATTAGTGCATGAAACTATCAAAGCATTCCACTGAACCAAAACGTTTTCGTACTCAGGGAAGAACACGTAAGCAGCTATCACAATATAATCGTGGGTGGTTGGCGGGTGCTCTGGTGTGGTTTGCTTCTTCTTTCCTATCAAATCTATCGTCTTTATCTCCCCTTCTGGAGGGTGCTCTGGTGTGGTTTGCCTCTTCTTTCCTATCAAACATCTATCGTCCTTATCTTCCCTTCTTCTTTTTTATGTTTGTTACTCTCATGTAACACCTATAATCTTCTGGCACTCGTATGACCTTATGCAGTTGCGAGCGCCGTAAAACCTCTACTAAAACTAAAAACTTATCCCCCCTCCTTTTTTGTATGACGTTATTGTGTTGCAAGTGCCGTAAAACTCTAACTAAAACTAAAACAATATAATCAGTGATGATATGCACATCACAATGTGAACATAGAATTCTATGATTAAGAAGGACTAGCGTTCTCAAGATGGCATTTCAGTAAGTGTGTTTTTCAATGAATTTTAAATTTTACATCTGGCTTTGTATTCGTATTACGATGTGGAAGAGAGTTCAGGATAGATGAGAAAAGGAACTCCCAGTGAGTTTTAGACTTCCCTTCATAGGTGCCCTCATGCGAGAATGATCTCCTGATCTTAAGAGATCTTGGTGGAACATACATTTTAATGAGGCTGCTCTAATAGGTCACATACCAATAGATTTGCCACAGCATCAGCAAAACTGGGTCTGAACCTCAGCAGGGGGACGACAAAGGTTATGAAGGTTATGAGAGCCAACACGATAAATAGGGTCCCAACTGGCTTGCTTGTGAAGTAATCGAAAAAATAGACCAATAGACTCATTCACCAGTCTGAAAAGTGTTGTTGGGAGACTGGAAGAAACATGTATATGCTAAAATGTGAATGGGAAAGTTGAGCCTTTGTTTTTTGAAAAGTCCACTTGAACTGAAAGTTTTAAGCTGATTTTCATTAAAAGCCCTGATTTGAAATAAATTGAATCATTAACACAGTACCCTTAGAAAGGACACAGAACCAAAATGGAAAGCCGAGGCGGCTTTTTTGCTACTGAAGAATACCTCAAACTCAAGTAAACTCGAACTGCAGACCACACTTAGGACGTTCAGCACAACATTGAACCGGTATTGTTTGTTCAGAGCAGTGACATACAAGATATTATCGACATCTATAGATATCAGGGTAATATAAAAATCGTGAGCCCTCGGGATATTAGTAGAGCCAATATGATTACCGAAGAAATCTTAAACCATGGTCTTTATAAAATTTTAAAAATTTTTATTACGATATTCTTTGAATACTAACTTCTTGGCTGCAACACCTGTCTCTCTCCCCCCCCAAGCCAGGCTACTTTCCCCCCCTCCACCTCCCCAACCCTTGCAACCCTGTGTGCTTCTTGGTTGAGTAAACCCATCTTGACACTCGACCTCTTCCTCTATCCCCCCCCTCTCTCTCCTGGTCTCTCTCTCTCTCTCTCTCTCTCTCTCTCTCTGTCTGTCTGTCTGTCTCTCTTTATCTCTCTCTCTTTCTCCTTTTCTATCTCACCCTCTACCTATCTCTCTCGCCCTCTTAGGAACAATAACTCAGATGTTGGAGAAAATGAGGCGCAAGAGGAGATATTTTAACACGGGCAGTAATGAAAGTTTAGCTTACATTGATTTTTAGATGGGGACCCCGATGTCGCTGGTTATATCTAATCTAAGACACATTGACGTTTTGGCCTGGCAGTTCTTGGGGTTCCGATGCATTAACCTTAGTCCGAATATAAGGCGGGTCACTCAGAGGCAACATAGTCTTTTCTTCCACACGAAGAACAAGTCTCATTTTGAGTAAATAGCGACACGCCGACAAAATAGTGGTCATTTAATACGGGTGGGAGACTGAATAGATAGAAAGGAACAACGGTGGAAAGAAAAAAAAGTAGGATCCACGGAAGCGGACTCCAAGTCCAAGCACCAGCCCAAAGCCTCAGGGAGAAATTATACGTAGAATCGTGGTGAAATCAGACACTCGTCAAAATCATGCAATCGAAGAAATCGAATTTTTTTAACTTACCCTTAGAGCAATTTTTAAAAAAATTGTTGTTTGGCTCAATACTTTTCATGCTTATGTAAAAACACAGTTCTGTGTGGATTTTCTGAAAAATAATGTTGATCAAAATCACTAAATAAAAAAATGTAAATTTGGCCGCCATTTTCTAGCTATTTTTCCCCGGACATCAAGTGATCCTCACAAATATCTTAACTTCTATTCAAGAAAGATGGATATTTTTTCATCAAAAGCAAGACAAATGTAAAAGCTTTAAAATGGCACCAGTAACTCCATAAACCACAAAAACTGACGAGCGATGATTCCACCACGTCGTGGCGTAAACTCTGAGAGTTGTTTGTCAAAGTTCAAATACTTACAAATAAATTATGTAGTATGTCCTGTGAAGCATAATTGTATAGGTTGTTTTAGAGGAGTTTTTTTTACGGCGCTCGCAACTGTATAAGGTCATATGAGCGCCAGAAGATTAGAGGTGTTTCAAGAGAGTGACAAACAAACAAAAAAAAGAAGGAGAGGAGTTAAGGAAGACAGACGTTTGTTAGGAAAGAAGAAGCAAACCACACAAGAGCACCCGCCAACCACCCACGCATAATTGTATGATATTGCGTAGCATAATTAGAGTTCAAAAGCAATCTATCTATCTATCTATCTCTCTCTCTATCTATCTCTCTCTCTCTCTCTCTCTCTATCTATCTATCTGTCTCTTTATCTATCTATCTATCTATCATTCTATCGAATATCTATCTATCAGTGAGTCTATCTATTCATTACTATTTTATAAAAGATTTACTCAAAAGAGACAGACGTCTTTTCAGTGCATGACGTAGTATTGGGAGAAATACGACCAATGATGTCTGGGGGAAAGGTGTTTAGAGTAAGTAAAGCTTATTACAAATGAACCGTAATCAATCTTTCTCCTTTTATTCCTATATTCCCCCT